ATCCCAAGACACATGTTTCATTTGTTGTTTGTGATAAAGAAACCCATTTTATTTGTAATGACACTATTTATGATTATAGAGATGGCTTATGCAAGGAGTTTCTCATGCTCCCAACCTGGATAACATTTTCATGTGTTATCAGGAAGATAAGATATCTGTTGCATCTAAACCGTTCAATACATGGTGAAAAGACTGCCGGTAGCCAATTGTGTAGTTTTGTACTAAAACTCATTACAGTAAATTTGGGTGTAGGTAGCCAGTTGTGTAGTTTTGTACTAAAACTCATTACAGTAAATTTGAGTGTAGGTAGCCAGTTGTGTAGTTTCGTACTAAAACAAACTCAGTACAGTAAATGTTAATATTACATTTCCTGTTTTTTTGGAAGTTGCACGTTTCAGAATTTCAGCATTACTTAAGCAGTCATCATCCTCACACTTAGCTTCTGTAGAACATAAGTAAGAACATAAACTACCATACTTAAATACACTAGTTCTTAATAGTAATCAGGGCTTTAAAATAGGGGTTTATCAAATCTACTTGTATTGGTTGATATACACATTTTAGTAATTTCATAGCTGAAAGTTTTTAAATGTAACCTACTAGCTCTATTTACTACCAGAGCCTTTAAAATAACTAACTTTGAATCCATTTTGCTGGAAGAGTGAAAAATTTATCAATAAAAAGTTAACAACTTAGTGGCTCAGTTCATCACACAGTGTATGCAACAACAAACACACAAACTTACCACATGTGAAGTTAAATATGAGCAGTTTCTTTATTGGGGAACTTATTCTTTCCAAATACATAATAATATCTATAGACTAAGTTCAAAGTTGTATCTTCAATTACAAATAAGATTTATTATTTCTGCACAGTTCTAACTTAACAATAAATATCAGATTTCAAGAGGTCATCATGCTCTCTCTATTATCTCTATAGTTGTCTGTAATGTAATCTGGAGTTTATATTGACAATACTGTCAGGAAGTTGTGAACTTGAGCTAATGATAAAGTCAAGCTCAGTGATTTAAATACTGTGACCACCATCTATCTGTCAAACCCCAGTCAGTCTGCAGCAATTTGACATCATTAAAGGAATTTTCATATTAAGGAAATAAACACCATATGTAGGCTCGAGCTTACCATTAATGAGAAATGTAATGCTGAGAAGGTTTTTTTAACATTATAATAAACAGAAATTTTTATTTGTACAAATTCTTTTCTTTCCACTTTGACATAAATGGATGCATTTTAAGTTGACATGTTTTTGTTAATTATTAAGGATGCAATATTAATTTTTGTTTTCCAACATTTATCCTTAAAACAAAAGTCTATTGGATTAGTATAATATTTTGAACAAGAAGGTGATAAACCGAAGCATGCAACCTTCTTTGTCCATTTAGAAAGTACCAATTTAATACATACTATGATGTTGTTTCATAGTCATTGCAGCAGTTAATCTTGATATATGAAAAGCAAAAGTGGTTTGCTACATTAATCAAGTGTTCAATGAAGTTTTGTAGGAAAATGTAATGCCTGAATGTATACGTTGTATTCAGAGAGAAGAAAAAGACATTTATGGTTAGTCAGTTTACATAAGTGTTTACTGTTAATGTTTTGGCCAAACTTGAATCATATTGTAAAACACTCAGCATTCTCTCTGTAAACATTTCCTTTAACATATGACCGTAGCCTTGAAACTATACTGTGCCACACACAGATGTGGGAAGAGGGCTAAAGTTGGAAGAGAATTATGCAGGTGGAGTATTCAGATATATTCTCCCCTGGAAAATGTTTACAAATAGTGAATCAAGTTGGGTAACTTTTGATGTGGTTGGCCAAGATACAATGAAAATCAGTGTAAAAATACAAGTAAAATTAATGTTAAAATAAGCAGTATAATGAGTAACTTGCTTGACCTTCTATTCTTACCTTGTGTCTTTATTCTCTTGACTTTCTTTTGCAGCTCTAAAGTTATTTTTAAAATATTTGTATTTAGTGCATCATTATTTTTGGGTGAAACAGTGAATCTATTGAAAGGTGTAGATAGGGAATTGGGGTAGATGATGTCTACCCATCCTGATGCCTGTTGTACTACATATTATTTTAAATGATATTTTAGAAATATTTTAAACTGTATAAGAGGATATTGACAGTCTTGTGTTTGATGGTTTCATAGCCCATGGAACATGAAGGGTAGGATATAAAACAATCTTTATTATATTGTATATCAACTTATTTTAATGTTAATTATTATGTTTGGCTGCCTCTACATCATAATGGTAAAAATGTCAACTTCAGACAGACATATTTAAGGTACTAAAGTCCTTCTGTAATATCCTCGATAAGTATGTGAAATTGCACCAAAAACTAGCTAAACTGGCTGTGAATGGCAGTCTACAGTAAAGTTAAACCTTTGCATTGCAATACTCAAACTTATAATTACTATTAGTTTAACCCAAAATTTTCTTTCTTCACAGACTTCAGGTGGGAAGTAAAATTGGTAATATAATGATTAATGATGTAATTTCATTTAACAGTTTTTCAGTGTCTTTATAAATTAACTAGCAAAGGAATGTAAAACTTGTTAAATTACTATGTCCAGTAGTATTAGTTAAAAGTAATGTTTATGATATTTTCAGAAAGTTTTTTAGTAGCAAAAGGCAAGAAACAAACTAATATGTAATGACATACAAAATGTTTAAAGACTCTTGTGTATCACCTGAGTATTACATTAGTGATGCTGGATAGACATAGTGTTGTGCATAGTATACCTGAACCAGTGAGCTTAGATGTTGAACAGTAAAACTGCCTAAAGATTACCAATATAAAAAGTTAATTTTACACATTAATATATCAGGCTTGGGAACACATTTCCAAATTTATCAGGCAAGTTAAGTATCATTTTATTTATTGAGGAAGTACTACAGTCACCTGAATGAGCTAGTGGTCCAAATTCATAATGTGCAAATACCGTAAGTATTGGTTGTCCAGATTCATAACTCATGTTGTGGAGTTGCTGTAAGGACAGCACTGTTCTTGCAACTAACTAGTAAGGAAAATTTAACAGGAGCAAAGACTCAAATAATTTGCAGAGAACAGTGGAAAATGGAAGGAAGGCATGTTACTGTTCTTGTATGTAAAAACTTCCCACTACAAAGGTGGTTACATGTACAAAACTGATTTTGTAGTGCCTAAAATGATTGCTAAGTTTAGTAGTGTACATACATATATTATTGTTTTCAATAAAGTAATTGTAGTCAAGGTAGTAGTATATTCCCCCAAAATTCATTGCCATCTTCCTAAGCTGCATATACAAAATTTTGTTTAATTTATTGGTTTTGGTACTGAAGTGATGTTTGTTTTTCTGTTTGTCAAGATGATCACCTAATGATTTCAGTTTCCTGTCAATAAAACTTTATGTCTACTGACCTAGAGAAAGATTTATTACTACAGTATGCTCTTTGTCCCAAGCAAGGTTGTTGTGCTTCAGCATGAGACCAAAACAGTTCATAAACCTTCCTAGGTGATACAAACCTTGAGTCAAGGGAATCATGTTTTTTGGTCAAGAAAATAAACTGGCATATCTTCTTATCCTACCATTCGTGTTCCATGGGCTATGAAACCATCAAACACAAGACTATAAATATCCTCTCATCCTACCCTTCATGTTCCATGGGCTATGAAACCATCAAACACAAGACTATAAATATCCTCTCATCCTACCCTTCATGTTCCATGGGCTATGAAACCATCAAACACAAGGCTGTAATTATCCTCTTATCCTACCCTTCATGTTCCGTGGGCTATGAAACCATCAAACACAAGGCTGTAATTATCCTCTTATCCTACCCTTCATGTTCCATGGGCTATAAAATCGTCAAGTAATAATATCTGACTCAGTAAAGTTTCCATGACCAGAGTACTTTTATGATTGAGGAAATAGCATTTTTCACATCAGTGCAAATGTTATTAATGATATGTGATGACCAAGAGATCCTGAAATTGAAAATCAAAAACCCACTTTTTGTAAGAGGATGTTGATTTATACATTATGCATATATAAATAAACATGTTACTTTGTGGAAAAGACAGGAAAAACTAATGACAGAATGTTTGATTTTTACCACTAGTGTTAAACATGTAGCATGTGCTATAAGGAAACTACTATTCATAAATGGAAATTTGGTGGACCTTCTTATATGGCATTAGTGGGCTTATTTATTTAAAAAAGGAGAAAAAAAAATAGATAAGAAATGTTTTTTAGATCAATAAAGGATATCGCAGATTAAAATATACTGTTGTTCAGAAGGAGAGAGAAATAGAAACTTTCAACTACAACGTTTAGATATTAAGGTTAATAAGCTGCTTTAGTCACTGCCAAGTTCCAAAACTAATCAATTAACAAGTATTTGAAGCATAACATTTATTATGAAGCTCCCTTTCACATCTGTCATGTACAGCATTGTAATACATCAAGTGGTTGCATGTTTTGTAGTACTGCAATGAACTATGAAATAACATGTTTTAAAATGTCTTGAGATATTTGATAGTGAAATAGAGTATTGGTGGTAATGCTTTCTTGATCTGGAGTAGGTATTAACTGGTTTTCTAATATAATGTAGTAGGTTATAATATAGAAAGCTCTGAGTATTTTAACCCAATTTTCGTTTGATATGTTTATTATTTTTTATTAAAAAAGAATTGTAAATTTAATGTGAATGTGAAAAACCGAAAGTATTGCTCATATTAAGTAAGAAAAAAAGTTGGTAACAGAAAATGTTTTAATTTTTAAATATCTTTACCTATCATGTGAAAATATTTTCTTTTTATCTTTGAACTTTCAGGAAGCTGTGAGATTAATGAATCTTCTGAAGGTTGTGAAATGTCACTTCCTGGACGAAAGTGTTGGTGGAATTTTAACAAAAAAACTTGTGAACCAGTGTTTCATACCTTAACATATAAATCATCCCATCTCTCCTGCCATAGAAGGAATAGTAAGAAACAATGTTGTTCTTTTAGTTGAAACTTGAATGGAAGTTTTTATTATTAACAGTAAAGAGCAAATGATTCTTTTTCCACTGAAATAATCATTATTAAGAAAATAGTTATTTATATAATTAATAATTTTATATAAGAGTAATGCTGGTTTTTATAGATTTTTTACAAAGACTTTGCTTAAGGTTTTATTTTTCGAGATTTGAAAAAATTTGGCTTTCTTAGTGTTTATTTATAAAATATTTTAACATCTGAAATATTATTCATTTCGAAACCATGTTGTATTAATGACTTATTCAGACATTTTGTCAGTGAAATTTGTCAAGTTTTAGATATGTTATTACTGTGTTCTAACTTTTTCCAAGTTAAAAGTTAACAAGCTTATTATTTTATTAGCATAACAAAAAGTTACAGTTAATTGTACCTTTCATTATTTTGCAGTAACATAAACAACATAGGATTAAAAAGGAAGTTTGAATATAATATTTTACAATATAACTGTATAAAATCAAAATCAAAAGATATCTATTTTTAAGGCTATTTTCATGATTTTTTAAATTTTATTATGCAATTGTGGCAGATTTTTCTGTATATCAAGACTCATGTCAGTGAGTCTCATGGACAATGAAAAAGTAAGTCTGTGTGCCCCAAAACATGCAGCCAGTACTGACATGATTGTGTTTAAAAGTCGCCTCTCTGAAACTCTCCCATTGTAACAGCATTGTCAATACTAATGTGCACAAAAGCAGCCAAATGACAAGTAACTCATACTTGTGTTATAATCAATAAAATTGACAAACACGATAACAAAATAATTCTAAACCAAGTCTAGAGTTTACTTTTTTTAGCAAGCAATTTAAATTATGCATCCAATAATATTGGTTGCTTTGGCTGCATTCTGATATCAATTCTTTTAGTCACTGCTTGTATAACAAATAACTTTTTCTTGGTTCCCCCTCTTTTTTTTACAGCCAAGCTGTTTTTGGTATAGATTGTTATTAACAATTTTTGTAGAATAAACTGGAAGTTATGTAGTATCATTAAGAAATGAAACTAATGTACTCTTTCTCTTCCATCAGTTAATTTCACTTCCCTTTGTGAGAAGTTGACATCCTGCCCCAGTTGTCTTGCCAACACGTATGGTTGTGTATGGTGTGGTTCTCTGTGCTCCTATAAACGATGTCCAAAGTCACAGAAAGTAAGGAACTTACATTTGGTGTATCTACTTGACCTAAAAGGGAGCTCTTCCATTTTAACCTATGTACAGTTGCAATTTAGGCTATATCATATGCAAGGAAAGGATATTAGTCACTGTAGGTCTTGAACTCAAATGTAATACTTGGCAGACAAAATATGTCAATCATATCACATTGAATTGGCATAATATGACAGTTGATCTACAGAAATGTGACTTATACCTTCAAGCTTCTAACACAATAAGCCGTACTATTACATTTAAGTTCCTATCACAGTGTTAAAGTTATAAATGTAATTGACCCCAAAATAAAATAGAATTAAGGCTGAGATTTTTAATCAAACTGAATATGTAAAATGGTCAGTGCACTTGAATTGAAAGATTATTATATAGAGGAGGTGGTAATACGTGTTGCAGTTTCTTACCCATACTGAGCAACTATATCGTGGTAAAGTATTAATAACAGAGTACTAATGAGTATTACAATGGGAAAAATGTTATGCTGTGAAAATAAAAAACTATGTAACCTTAGCATTTTTGAAAGGTGGACCTTTCTTCATCAGGGGAAAACTAGGAACGACCAGGTAAAGCTAAGTGTGAGAAAAGATGGAGTGCTGTCATGGCAGCCCACCATGACAGCCTAAAAGTGTTTTGAATAGTTTTCAATGTATTGTTGCAAGTGTGTGTCATTTCCATTGTGAGATAAACCAGGAAACTAGAATGATAGATATAAAGCGGTTAGAGAGGTTTTCTTTTAAAAAGGAAAAATGAATATTGATAAAGTAAAATAAAGATGTGATATGAAGATTATTTAAAAATAAAATGTTAAGTAGATAGAAGGAAAAAAGATAAAAATCAAATGTGGTAAATGATCATAAATATTAACAAAGATTAGAATTCACACCACACATGAAAAAGGAAATAACTTAATTTTCTGATAGAACTAACTAATGGCTGAAGATAACATTCCAGAATCCAGATTTATTTCACAAAGTTGAACAGTAATTAAAGTGACAATCCATTAAGCTTCTTGTATTTCTCTATTAGCTTTAGTTTTGAAAATGGTCCACCTTTCAAAAGTGCTTGGGTCATAGGGTTTTGTATTTTTGTCTTAAATTGAATTTTTGAACCTGTGTATTTTCTAAGCATCATAAATTACTCTGATATAAAGTTTGATTACTATCTGTATACAATTTCACAGTGCCCCTGTTTTACAGTAGAAGTTTAAGGAATTTAGTTTTCCCCCTAAAATCACCATAAAATTAACAAACGAGTATCTGTATTTGGTCTTGTACTTTTTTCAGTGTAGACTGTTTTATCATCCTTATTCACACATCTACACTATTTGACAAATTGTTTTCCATATATGTCTACTACCATAGACATGGGTATAGACTAAAAACTCTTTCAACTCATTAGCAAACATAAAACTGTTTTATTATGCAACCACAGAGATACTGATTCATATATATATATGTTGTATATAGAGCAGTGATTTACTTAAAAAAATGATCTTACTTGAAATGAGCAACAAATAAGAAAATATAACTTTAGATACAAAAGTTTGTCACAGTAACTTGATAATGTAAAGTGTGAAGTTCAACTCTCAAATGCACTTTCCTTAGAGAATATACATTGCGATATTCACTTTCCATAGAGAATACATAAAGAATACACATTGCATTATCCACTTTCCACAGAGAACATACATTGCATTATTCACTTTCCACAGAGA